TCAGAATAATACTGTTCCATCATGTTTCGCAGTTTGACGATCTTCTTTATCCTAAGCCTTTATATCGCAAGTAAGTTTTCAAATACATTAATTTAATGATAAATAATGATAAATAAAAAATAATTTATATGATAAAGGTGTTGTTTGCTCGAGCGATTGTGGGCCAAAAGGGGTTTATTCCGGTTGTGCGAGTGCTTGTCCACTAACGTGTGATAATTATCAAAATCCACCTGAATTTTGTATTCAAGTAAGTGAATACATCTATCGATGTTATGAAAACGAAGTATATTATTTCTAATAATTAACTTATGGATTTGATTATTTTCTAATTAGGTCTGTAGAGAGGGATGCGTTTGCAATAGAGGATATGTTCTAAACAAAAACAATATATGCGTTTTACCCTCTCAATGTTAAAGTAAATAATCCGACGATTATAAAAAATGTAAGTTCGAATTCTATAAAAATGTATAATTTGATAGAATTGAAAAATTATCATATATACTGCAATAATAAAATATTATAATATCATATATTTTTTGATTTGTTTCTTTTTCGAACGTACATATATCCAATATATATCTACCATTTTAAACAATTATTAATTACTTATAAGTAAAAATACAAAGTTTTATATATAGTAAAAAATACCATTTTCATGTTAACACATAAAATGGAACTTTGACAGTTTTTACATGACACTAAGTTAATATAATCAATCGAAAGAAAACAATTAAAAGCAGCAGCATGACAAAAACTATGTATATATATAAATGCTCCTTGTGTTATAAGTTTGAATTCAATTTATGAACTTCCTTATTTCGAAACCACGTATATAAACATTACATAATAAAAGAATTATCTCTTTTAAATAAACATTATAATTTATATGGCAAAATAAAAGCAGCTCGCGAATATAAATTGAAGCGCAAAAATAACAGTTCCATTAGTCTAATTTTATTTCAGAATAATACTGTTCCATCATGTTTCGCAGTTTGACGATCTTCTTTATCCTAAGCCTTTATATCGCAAGTAAGTTTTCAAATACATTAATTTACTGATAAATAATGATAAATAAAAAATAATTTATATAATAAAGGTGTCGTTTGTTCGACCGATTGTGGACCAAATGCGGTTTATTCCGGTTGTGCGGGTGTTTGTCCATTAACGTGTGGTAATTACAAAAATCCACCCAAATTTTGTGCTCTAGTAAGTAAACTTGTTTTATTTTATCCGTCGTTGTTTTGAAAACGAGGTATATTATTTCTAATAACTAACTTATGGATTTGATTATTTTCTTCTTAGGTCTGTAGAGAGGGATGCGTTTGCAACGATGGATATATACTTAACAAAAACAATATATGTGTTTTACCCTCTCAATGTTAAAATAAATAATCCGACGATTATAAAAAAATGTAAGTTCAAATTCTATAGGAATGTATAATTCGATAGAATTGAAAAATTATCATATATATTGCAATAATAAAATATTATAATATCATATATTTTTTGATTTGTTTCTTTTTCCATTTGACGATCTCTTTCACTCAAAAAACTATTTTCTCGATCCTAGTTGTAGACACCATACGAAAGATGGCGAAGTTGTAGCGTTCTAAAATTTCTTGTTCGGCCTTTCTTGTGTTAATATAAAATGTAGGTAGATGTTATATTAGGGATGCCTATAAGAAATGTCATTTTTTTTTTAATTTGAAAAACATTGCCATTTATTGATAATGTATATAATATAACCTAACTTAATATAATATAACCTATATTCTAGTAAAATGTATTAATATTTAGTACGATTATAGTTCAATTTTAAAAAAAATTAAATGAACCCTATAAAAATGAAAGATGATTCACCTAATTGAACGAATTTATCTAATTCGCAATTTTGAAAAGCCCTCCTTTTGAACTACTCTTTTCCATACTAAACTGCTTGTATATTTAATTTATATAAGAACCGCATGGTGGAGACACTGTTCCACTGCTACACTTGTAGCTCGTGTTATCCGTATTTGTCATAGAAGTCTATTACATTTGGAGGCATGTGATTTTTACTAGTCGAACATAACAAAAACATTGCTTTTAATACTTTAATATTAAGATAAAACTAGTGTGAAAAGAAAATTATAAAAATAGTACAATGGTAAGTAAAAAACGAATTATTTACCCATAAAAAAGTAACCTTACTCATACGTATACGCCTCTAATAGCTTTAGCTTCTAACTTTATAAGGAAATGTTACAGCTGAAAATAGATTTACATAATTTAAAAGAGATTTTTATTTTTATCATTATATTTATATAAACAGGTAGTTTTTTCCTTCTTCCTCTTGGTTAAAATTACTTTGTTATATACCTGATTATTATTTTATAATAAATATTGTTTTTATTAAATCTTTATATTATAGCAAGATCCAAACGAAGATACAGAATGGAATGATATTCTTAGGAGAAAGGGTATTATTCCTGAAAAAGCCAAAGAAAAGGAAGTAACGGAAGATCAAATATTAGACATTGTAGAGAATACGATAAATGAAAAAACAGGACGCAGTAAGTTTCTTTATCTGTATCATTAAAAATTGAAATTAAATAAATGGTTTACAATAAATTCTGTTTCTTTAGCTACTAATGATTTAGAAAGTAAAACCTTAGATGAATTGGATGAGTTGGAAGACGAAGAGGATGAAAAATTTCTTTTAGAATTTAGACGTAAAAGGATAGCGGAGATGATGGCATTAGCAAATAAAAGCAAGTACGGAGTAGTTAAGGAAATATCAGGCCAGGATTACGTCCAAGAAGTTAATAATGCAGGAGATGTTTATGTAGTTTTACATTTATATAAATCAGGGTTTGTAACTTAACAAAAGTTTTAATATTTACTTTTAAGTGTATATCATTTATTCTATATACTTTGCATTTTTTTCTCAGAATTCCTTTATGCTCGCTTGTCAATCAACATTTAGCTTCGTTAGCAAGCAAATTTCCCGCAACAAAATTTCTCAAAAGTATTTCTACTACTTGCATACCTAATTGGCCAGATAGAAATCTTCCAACTATTTTTGTATATTACCAAGGAACCATGGTTAAAAAATTCATCGGACCAATAGAATTAGGTGGAATGAAACTTACGGAAGAAGGTTAAAATTTATATTAATTTCAACAGCGTATAGACTATATATAACAAATGTTAAATTAATATTATAATTAACGGTTACTCTCTTTAACATAAATATAATTTATATTTCAGAATTAGAGTGGATGCTTGGTGAAACTAAAGCTATAACAACAACGTTAAAAGCCAATCCTCGAGTAAATCGTCCGCAAGTAAAAGATGTATTATTTTCTGAATTAGAGAGCGATAGAAATGATTGGTAACTTATTTTGAATTAATGTTACTTTTTAAAAATAATACTACATATAATATAAGGTGCTAAAAGTGTGAATATCTTGTATAATGACAAAAGTGGCATTTCAATTGATATATCTATTTGTTTAAAAAAGTGTATACACATATACACATTTATCACTAATTAATATCACTAAAAATCTTCTTGCTAATGTCGTGTAACGGAATAAAACAATTAATTTTCATAATTTAGATAGTTTCTTCGCTAAGATTTATTCTTTCATATTGTTTTTCAAAATATGTATATGCTACGTAAGTTGAAAATTGATAAAGATAATTTTATACAGGATTTCGAAAATTCAATAATCTCGAAATTTATTTTATCTTGATTAGGCTATCTCAAATTTGTTTACTTGCCCGGTCCCTTTACCTAAACAAGTATTTTCACGACCATAGATATAAATTCTATACTATCTTCTCTTTCACTATTATAAACTTATAAACATACTATACGCATAGTAAAATGGTTTTTCATTAATTTTCGGTAGTTACGCGTCCGAAGTCATACTTTGATAAGTCTTAGTCTTGATTATATTAAAAAAAAAAAAAAAACACAAGAATTCTACTATTCATAAAACTCTCTTTATCTTTATCTTTATCTCTTTCATCTTAGTATTTCTGTTTCTTTTTCTTTTTCTTTTGTTAGTGTATAAACTTACCAACTCAAACATGAAGACCCAACAACATAGCAACGATAATATTGCATATATATATATATATATATATATACGTAATAGTGTGTAGAATGGTCGGAAAGCATCTTTTTCTCATTGTTTACATTTTGTTTTCAAGGACTTCTCAGGTTTCTCTTTCACATCCTAACGATACATTACGCCGCTTTTTTTATTGACGACTAAACAGTCCCTTTCTCAAATTTAGTAGAAACACTTCAACGAAAAATTCAGTCCCTATTCATTGCTCAAAAAAGACGGTTGATACGATTTTTTTTCTGGTAAGTTTTCTTTCTTTGCATATTTCTATTTTCTACTTTAACTATTTATTCTTATTACGTCATTTCCAAAACATATTAATCAATTTTATCATTACTTTTATTTATTAATTTATTTTTTTAATTTTTGTTGTTTTATTGTTATACGCGAAGTGCACGTGATGTGTGAACATGGATTTATATGTATGTGTGTATTATATATCAAAGAAAAGTATGCAGATTTTTGTTCAAGAAGTTTCGTTTAATTGTTTTTTTAATCAACAATTTTCTTTCGAATATGTCGTTCTGATTAATATTATATTATAAATGCTAATCTTTTATTTATTAACAATATAAAGTTTTTAATAATATAATAATGAAAAATATTCAATTATGTTGGTAGTTGTGAAAATATTTTAAAGAAGAAATAAAAAAAAGTGAAGACAGTCAAGTTAGTAGTACATTTCTTTGTCTAGAATGCACTAGTGCTTTGTTAAATATTTTATATGATCAAACTGTAATTGTGTAATTGAATTGTTTTACAATTCGTCATCTATTTGAACAATTGTTCAAATAATATAGTTCGTTAAAATAATTGTTGTAAATTATCCATCTATAGTGAAAACAAAACAATGACAACCGATTTTATGTATGTGTAATTTTGTTGTTGTTAGGAATTTGTTTATTTTATTGTTTAAAATATTAGATTAATAATTAAAACTATTCTTTTTGGTTTGAAATTTATATTTTAGGTCAATGAATCTAAAAGAAGCAAATGTAATTAGCATTTCGGAAGAGGATATTTGGTTATCTTCAAACAATTTAGAGATGGAAAGTATTTGCAATGTAACCAATGATTTTGTAGAAGACTTTGATTTTTCATCAATTAGTTCAGAGGTTAACAATGAAACTTCTAATGGTTTTACTGAAACATTGAGTGATTCAATATGCATAAGAATGGATAAGAAAGAACATATTGTTAATCCAGAAATAATTAACTTAGATTCGCATATACTTAAATTAATCTTATTAGGGGCAGAAGATACCATATCTTGTATGTCGTTCCAATGTGATTCAAGAAATAATAAAGAATTATTGAAATTACAATCCGAAGAGGATATGTTAACGTTTAAGGATCTGTGCAATACTCGTAATTTACCTAATATATTAAGAGGTCCTAAATCATATTCTAAGCGTAAAACATTTTCTTTTCCATTTGATACAGAAGATAATTCTTATTACACTAATGAAATGCTTGAGAATAATATTTTTGTAGAAGAAAGTACAAAAAATATGGAGACATCACATCGTAAAAGAAAACAAAAACATGATCCGTTAACTGTTGAAGAGGAATCAATTAATTGGGTGATTAATAGTACAAATGATTGTGATAATAGTTCTAAGAAAAAAATTAAATTAAACTCGAGAAAAACAACGGAACGTAATTGTAGTAATAAAAGAAAACAAATACGTGGAAGGAAGTCATTGTTAATGAAAGAGGTAAATAACGAACAACCTGTAAATGAAACTTCTCAAAAATCTAATGTTACTTCAGATTCTACTGCATCTATTTTGGAACAAGATAAAGGAACAAGTAATGATGTAGATATTTCTCTCGATTTCATTACATGTCATGAAGAACAAATTCACGAAGATTATATAGATCACTTTGATATCTTAACTGATATTTTAAAAGAACAACAAGTTTTGAATGACAATTGTTACAATATTAATTCTAATACCATTTATAGTTCTAATATTCTAGACTACCAAAAAGTAGAATGTCACAAATCTCTAAAAGATAATGTTATAGATCAGGTAGAAAATAGTTCTGAAAGTCCATCGGATTGCAAGGATTTTTCTCATCATAAGAGTAAAGATTGTTTACTGTTTGAAGAAAATTCAGAGACAAGTTATGTTAATAATTATCTTTCAAGTTATTTTAATGATTCGTTGGATAATTCACTGGATATTGCATCCTGCCAAGAACATTCTACACATAATATTATACAAAATTCTTTAAATAAAGACAAAACTAAACATTTGGATAGTCTGTTACTTAAAGATGAAGAAAAGTATAAAGCTTATTTAGAAAGTAAATTAAATAATGATTTAGTTTCTTCAAATAGTAATTTTCTACTTATCAATGTTAGTAAAAGTAAAACAGATGATTATTTAAATAATAATTTAGAAGATTCAACTATTGTAAAGCCAAAATCAAATACGCAGCAGAATGTTCAATTCGACGTACTTCCTGATACAGATCTTTCTGCACAAGTTTCATTAGATTCAAAAGACATTTCATCAACAGATGTATTAGAAAATGATATACATTTAGAAGAAGTAGTACAAGAAAAAAAAAGAACGCCCAATAAGTATATAATGGTCCACAAACTCAATGAAGAACTTGAGTTAGAGTGTGATTATAAAGAAACAAATGATAAAAAAGCTTTAATGAAAACTGATAATTCAAATCATATAAAGAAAGTAAAAGAGGATATTAAGGAAACGTAAGTTATATTCATCATATATGTATATATACACAGGGTGACCTATAACAATAGTACAAGTGAGCAGGGAGTGTACTCAACAAATTTTCAAATTTATTTTTCTACAAAACAAACCCTTATACGAACAAAATTTATTTTATATTTTTGAGTTAGTTTTTAATTTAAAATCACATCCTTTACTCGCTTGTTCCATTAGTTGCAGAACACTATGTATATTTCATTGAAGAATTCTAGTATGTACTACATGTAACTAAAATTATGTATAGTTTGCAGTGTTTATTATGTCCATTAACATTTCCATCCAAACGTTCGCTGGCGTTGCATGTATCAGGGGCACACGGAGGTAGCAAAACATGTTTTTTTCTACGTGTATTTATTTATATATTCTCAGTTTTATAATTACATACCTTTTTGTAGATATGTATATGATATTATGCGAACGTTGCGGTCGACTTTTCAATAAAAAGTGTGTCTTTAATAATCACTTCATATATTGTGGCTGTGTTAAATTACCTTTTGATTGTAATAAGTGTAATAAGAGTTACAGGTAAGAAAGAAATTTATATTTTTTTATTAAAGTAGAATTTTTTAAGTAAAAATAGTACACATATAGTTCTTTTTTGTTTTAGGCATAAATCATCTTTAATATACCACCTTAAAATTGTGCATAAAATAGATTATAAGAAAGATACAAATAAGGAATATAAATGTGATGTCTGCTCAAAAATATATAAAAAGTATGGTGCTTTTGAAAAACACTTAGGTACACATATTAATTCCAAAAAGTCCTTGAATTTAAGGGATAAAAATTGTACTCTCATAGTCACCGTTTAATATACATTATTTTTCATATATTACATTGAATACATCGATAATAACTATTCTTTTACAATCTATTTTACATGACATTATTTTTATTATTATTTAATAAGTTTATAACAATATATTTTTATACGTTTGATAAAAAATATTGTTTTTAGTTTAAGTTCATGTTTAACTTTAGTTTTAATTAATTAATTGACACACACACAAACAAGATAAAAAAAAGAAAATTGTCGTTCGAACGTGGTTACATCGATTCCACCAAGAGATTAAATATTTTTTATCTTGTTACGTAATATTTTATTTATAATAATTTGACTGACTAAGATTATATTGTTATAGTTTATGTATATATATATATATTACCGTGAAAGACCGAAATTGGAGAATGTAAAGATTCACGTGTTCGCTTGTCCACGTGAAAAATGAAAAATCAAGTATTTGCGTTTATTCTTATACATTAATATTTTAGATATACACCAAGCAACCATGTGAATCTTGACATTCTCCAATTTCAATCTTTCACGGTAACATATATATATATAACATGTAGAAATATTTTTTGATTTGCTAAATAATTTTTTTATTCGTGAATTTTATTTTTGTGTAATACGTAAAAACGTTTAGAAATAAATAATATTATTTCGATTTAAACTAATTTTATCGTTAAATATATAAATATACGTTATGGCAAATAAAATATGTTATATTTTTGGTTCATTTAATTGCTTTAAGAAGAGAGATATAAGAAATCGAAGTCATTATAATCTATAAGATAATTTAAAGACTGTTTAAATAACGTTCTTTATAAAGGAATAATTATGTAAGATTATATTTATTATATTTACTTACTTTTTGATAATAGGACAATCTCATTACTGAAAAATCTCCTGCGGTGATTTTACACGAGAAACTTGAACGAATAAACATAATAAGGGGTGACGATGAATAGATTGAAAGTTTGTACCACTTTATATTGTATGCAGTATTCCCGATATCTTCGGCCTCAAATAAATGTAATATTTTTATATAATATTTGGTGTTTGTTGAAAAAATTAAAGAAATAACAAAAGACAACAACGATTACCTTTTCAATCAGAAATTCTCCGAGATAGCAATAAATGAAGAAACTGTGTGTAAGAAATATTCCATAGGAAGTATATGTGAAGATTCCACCGATGTCATTATTTTCTATATACTAATTACGATTATTGATATTTATCTTAATTAAATAATTATTATTATATTAATCATTTTTTCCATAACTTACTATAATAAGCAAATATCCATCTATACCAAGAGCAACAGTGTTTCCTAACAATTGAAACAATATTAATCCACGAAAAGAATCTTTCATTATTTTTACGTATCTAAAATCATTAAATTAATTTTAGATAATAAACAATTATGATAAAAATAAATAAAAGAAATAATGAAACTTACTCTATTATTAATACATGGCGTTTTACGATACAGCTCAAACAAGCGCATTCTCTATTATTATTATTATTATTATTATTATTATTATTATTTTTATTTTTATTTTTATTTTTATTATTATTATTATGTTTACTATTACCAGAATAATTACGTATAACGTTGGACAATATTGCGAGTTGTCCGCACGCATGAAGGACCGCAGTACATAAAAAAGAATCCGTTGAAAAGTTCACGCACATGATAAAAAAGTTTTGCATTAATTGGATCATATAAATTATTTCGAAAACAGGCGTTTGTTTTTCATCGAATGGAAACCATCCTTCGAAGGGTAATTTTCTTATCGTTACATTTAAATACGAATTAATATTAACGATATGCCCGTTGTAGATCGGCGTAAGTATAAAAACTAAATAATAAATAATTTTTATTATTAAGGGGCTAAGTTTAAAAAAAAATTGTACAATACATTTTTTTTTCTTACTAAAATACGTTAGCACTATGCAAAGTGTATGAATTATGTTAATACGTCTTGCTATTTTTGCGTGATGAAGTAGAATCTTCTTATTGGTTTCCGATAAATCAGAAAAATCGTTCCAATCATCGATCATACGTTTGATAATTATTTTGTAGCTTTTACTATTTAGTTTAGCGAATAAGAATCTTGTGATAGTTGGAACACTGTAAACCATCATCAAAATAATGTCTACCGGTATACTTTCACCTTTTTTTATATAAAGAAATGAAGGGATAAACATGATGCTGAACATTAAAAAAATGAGGAATGATTTTATAGACGCGTATAAATCTTTTTCTGGCCAAAGACCTAACAGTTTCATACTCCAGCGAGCTAGAAAAATAGTTTCGTAAAAATTACCATTGTTTTTTAACATTGCAATTATTTCAAAACAACGCGCCATTTTTCACCGATCTCACCAAAACCAAAACTGAAAACAATAAACGTTCTCCGAATGTATCGTTTTCTTATATCTACAAAAAATGGTGTAATTTGTTTAAGCATTTTCTAATTAGTTGTTCTAATGACCGAGAAAATAATAGGATACATTGCCTATAGATTGAAAATTAATGGCGATATTTCAATTATGTATGTAATTCGTTATTGCTTTAGTTCGATACTTAACTTGTCATTAATGATTGCTCTATATACATTATTTGTAGTATAATACATAGATATTATAAATTATTGAAATTGCATGTGAATAGTTCAATATATTCCGTGTAGCTTTATTTTATTTTTTCTACGATGTAAATGGTCGATGTATCTTTCGAAAATTATACAGTACTTGTAGTATACAGTTTCATGTATATAATTTGTCCTTTATTAATTACCATCATTTATATTTTATTTGCATATAAATGTTGTATAAATTATTAGAAAAAATTTCTATACACGCGAATAGTTCGATTTCTTCGGTGTAACGTTACTTTATATTTTCTTAGATCATAAACGAGTGAAGTTTCTTCCGAAAATGTTACAATCCTTGTGTAGTAAAGCGTTGCTTCTGTAATTTGACATTGATAGATGGCAGACGATTTATAATGGTAAAACAAGACCGATACACACTTGGAAACTTTTTCTTTTTTTATATTTGAATGAAAATGTATGCGATGTCTAGAAAAACCCTCTTTTTTACGCAAATTTTAAGAACACTATTATGTCTGTCTAAAGGACAGCTTGAACTGTTTAGATTTTATGATAACAATGTTCGATATAATAAATCATTTAAATACGAAATATATATGAGATATGAAATATCTGTATTGTAAATCATTTAAATAATTTTCATAACATTTGATTACATGAATTAAAAAACAGAAAAATTTCAATCTGACATAGAATAAAAACTTCCATCAAATTTGGATTATCCAATCCTAATAGTAGCATATTTGCTACAACCAAAACAAAATCCTGTGACATAATCCTATTGATCCAAGATTTTGTTGTTGTAGAATTAATTTCCGAAGCTGTATCGGTAAATATATTAAAAGTGTATGTTCAAAGATACGCGAGTCGGATAAGTGGCGGGTAAATTGAAATTTGTAGCAATCGATCCAAATGAAAGGTAATCGTCGACTTAAATGAAATTTTAATGAACACAATTTTTGTATAACATTTGTGTATATTTTAAAAAAATAGAAGAGGAAAGGAAGGAAGCTAAGAGAGAAGGAAAAAAGAAAGAAAGAAAATAAGGATGAAAGAAAGGAATGAAGGAAGGAAGGAAGCAAGGAAGAAAGGGTTGCAGCGGTGGCGCCAACACGGAGAAAACCGGAATCAGAGCTTAGACCGGAACCACGCAGATCATCCTCAGTAGTTGCCCAGACGCTGTCACGGGCGTAGCTGGATGCTGGGTTGTCTCTCTCTCTCTCGCGCGCGCGCGTGCCGCAGGGAGGTGCTTCCTTTTCTTCTTCCTCTTCCTCCTGACCTACCTCCCTCTCGCCGTCTCCTCCTGTCGCCGTTTCTTCTTCTCTTCTTGACGCGGCGAATAAAATAATTCATAGATTCAATTTAACAACAAGATAACGCGCAGCGGTAGTTAAAAACAGCGACAGCATCAACGACAACATCAACAATAACAACAACCACAATAGTAACAACAACAATATAATAATAATAATAAATTAATAATAATAATAATAATAATAATAATAATAATAATAATATAATAACAAGAAAAAGAAAAAAATATAACACAAGACAACACACACACACAACACCACTTCTTCCCTCTCCTCTTCCTCTCCACCAATAATCTCTCTCTCTCCTTCCACCAGCCTCGTCTCGATAGTGGCTCACGTCCGTTTCGCTTGCCGGCCGGGAAGAAGAGAGAAAAGGAGAGAGAGAGAAAGAAGCTGCGTAAAAGGGGAAGAAAGAGAGAGTGTGTATGTGTGTGTGTGAGAGAGAGAGAGAGAGAGAGAAAGAGAATGTGACATAGGGGGTGATGGTGGTTGTTTCTTGCCGGTCGGTTGAAAGAAAAAGAGAGAATTGTATGAAAGCGAGAGAGAGAGAGAGAGAAAGAAAGAGTTAGATAGATAGATAGATGATAGATAGATAGATAAATAGATAGATAGAACTGAGAGAATATAAGAAAAGAAGAGAGAGAAGGTGTGAAAAGAAAGAAGTGTGCTTCTGTGTATGGTGCAGTGCGGTGTCGTGCATCTTCTTCTTATTCTGGAGAGAAAAAGAGAAAGCCGCCGATTAGAAGAAAGAAGAGAAAGCAAAAAGAGAGAGAGAAACATAGAGCATGGCGTGGTCGGATTTAGCATGTGTCGTCTCCTCCTTGCCGTGACGTGATAAGGTGAGTAACAGTTGTATTTAACAAAGGTTATTTCATTTTCCGATTGTTCAATTTCGCGCTAATTTCTTTATCTACTTGTTTGTTTTTTTAATCCTACCGATCGAATTTAATTAACAAAAAAGAAGGATAAGAAATATTGTTTTTATTTTGTATTTTTTTTTATATGTTTATTCGTTTATTATAACAATAAAAATATGATTTAATGAAGATAAAAAATATGTCGATCGAAAGGAAAAAATTCCGGTTGTCTGGCTTAGCTCCTTCTTTCTACTTCGCGATATCAAAGATCGTACGCGCTCGGCCGGCGTCGCGTGCGTAGACAGAGACGGAGATAGATTATGTAGGGGAGAGAAAGAGATGGAGAAAGAGGGTGAGAGCAGAACGCGAGACAGTTGAGAGGGTAGAAGGGATAGCGGACATGGCGTTTTCGAGCAACCACTTCGATTCTCGTTCGATATTTTCCTCCCCTTTCTGTCTCTCTTTTTCTCTGTCTCTGTCTCTCTCTCTCTCTCTCTCTTTTACTGTTTCACTCTTTCACTCTCGTTAATTTTATCTATGTATCTATCTTTCGATTTTCGTTCGATTTGATTTCGATTTTCACTTGTTCGATCGTACCGGGTCTATGCACCCTTCCAATATTTCAGTCTAGTGTCAATGAATTTTGAATTTATGAAAAAACAGCTGGAAGATACTAAATGAATTAATGATTGAAATCACATGGATCAAGGTAAATCAGAGCGAATGATGATTTTTACAAAATTTATAGTGATTCAGTTGAAACAAGAGAAACGTTTCATTTACACGTAAGTTTGTCTTTTTCCTTGTCATCCCCTATAAGATGGATATGTATATATATATACATACGTATACATGTATACGTACGTACATACGTATACGTACGTATACATACGTACTATATATCTATCTCGTTGCTTCGGTAACATAGTAGATATTATTTTCACGTTCAGAAGATTTAGATAAAAGATTGGAAGCGCCGAACTTTGTTGAAAATCGAATCGTTTAACGATCAGTGTTTTTTTTTGTCTTTCCTTTCCCTTGATAATATGGAAAACACGAAGTCGATGAGGGGGGGGGGGAAGGCTTGTAAAGTTTTAGATTAGCTTAACGTGAGGTTTCTTCCTTCTTCTTTGTCCTCGTCAAAACCGATTTTGCAGAAAGGACGGAAAATTCCACATATCAGAAATCTTTTATCAAATATATTAGATTAATAATGAAATTTCGATCGTTTTCAATATTAAATGTTTCCAAAGTAATACTTATCACGTTTCTTTTCCTTTTTTTATCTTCTTCATATCTAATTAGGTATGTAAATATGTGAAATAAATAATGTAAACAATTTCGAAGTAGATTTATCTTTCTTTCTTTCTTTTTTTTTTTTTTTTTTTTGAAAAGATAAGACGAAAGACTAGGGCAAAGTAAAAACGTTCTCATAACCTTAAAATCCGTAAGTCGTATCGTCAGATTTTACGAGACCACCCTGTAGTGATCATAAAAGAAAAAAAGTTCACGACGTTTATACGGTCTTTTAGTTACAAAGTCAACGAGAAACAAGCGATTTTAAAATAAATTTTCATTCTCATAGTGATATAGAGTAAAAATGAGAGAGAGAGAGAGAGAGAGAGAGAGAGAGAGAGAGAGAGAAAGAGAGAGAATAAAAGAAAGGGGTAGAAAAAATGCGCGCCAACTTTTACATTTAAAAAGTACTCGAATGTAATTTATAGCCGTTGGGATTTTATCATAAATCTGGATTCGCGTGTTCGCAGGACCGTTAACGTTTGCATCGTGATCACGTATGTACTTATATTTATTTTTTCTCTTCTCTTTTATTTTTTCTGGTTTTTTTTTTTTTTACATATAACTATGGCATGTTATGTCAAAAATAGATTCGTTGCTTGCGTGAGTCCTGAATCTCAATACTTTTCGTGACTACGTGCAATGTATCTATATCTATATATATATATATATATATATATATGTAACAGGAACACAAAAATAAAATTGTTCATATTTAAATATTCATCGAAACAATAAATATGTACATCTTATTTTTTTTTATTATTATTATTATTATTATTATTATTATTATTATTATTATTATTATTATTATTATCATTATATCAACGTCAAAAGGATATCATTTTTAAATATAATTTTCATTTGTTCATTGAAACGATTCAAGCCGATGAAGTATTAAAAATGATATTTAAATCAAGCAAACTGTCGTAGATGCAGCATACGATCTTATTTCAAAGTGAAATCGGCTTTCTCTCCCATTCTCTTTCTTTTTCTATGCGATCGGCGTCAGCTTGTACGAGCTCGTTCGTAAGATGGCAAGAAGGAACGTATTACCATGATAAAGGCAACTCGGTCGCATCGAAAATCAAGAGAAAATTGATCGTCGAGTGGCTTGTCGAATGGCTCCGATATCGAGACCAGTACGTTCGAGATCGAACGTTCAAGCTCGACTTAATAATCATCTCGGATGGTACAACTCTGTTTTATAAATTTAATATTTGTAATCATTTTATGTAAAATATCTTCTTTTATTCTTTGTATATATATATATTTTATACAAATTATATAATCTCATGGGGATTGTAAAACGATATAATCGTATACTCTCTCAAAATAGATTTTGTTTGATTAATTTTGTAATGTAGGAAAAAGGAAGAAAAAATTTATTAAAAATATACACTTAAAAAACTAAGGGTGGGTTCGCGTAAAGTGTAACAAATATGAAGTTCATAAAGTATTATCGTGCGCGCACGTTCCAATAATATATTGCAATACATAAATAACATTATTAATATTACATAAATGTTGATACACATACAGTGGTTTATATAGAAAATGTATTCAGAAGGGTGGTAATATCAAGTGGGAAGTAATTTTATATTTAAAAATAAGTCAAAAAAAAAAAAAGAAAGAAAAAATAACATATTTTCATTAAACATTTTGTGTTATAAAAAGAAAAATATGTATAAATATTACATAAGAATTTCATTGGTAAACATTTCGTGCGGAAGGTATATTACAGTCACTTTGATATGTACATAAATATTAACATTTTTCTTAATTATCCAAAAAGTTTTGAAATGAAGAAAAGAAAGATTCTAGTTAATATCAAGGAACTAGTTTTATATTTACCTTTTTGTGTGTGTGCCATTTCCTCAAGTTGCCGAGTTGAATGGCAAAGTAAGGCGTTTCGTTATCATATTATTTATGAGCCAGGGAATTATTTATTTTATTGGGGTATAAGTTGAGAGTAGAAAGAAAGACAATGAAGGGAAACAACAAAAAAGCCAATATAATAAAATGGGAGAAAAATATTAAGGAAGAAAATATCTCAAACTTGCTATTCTTCTGATTTATGTAATTTTGTAAATATCATTCGAAAAAAAAAACTGTACTTGATTCTTTTTAAACAAAGTCCTTAATACAATTTAATTATTTTATTTTCAACAGAAAATTGTAAAAAAATTAAAACGTGTTTGTTTGAGAAACACAAAGAAATCGTTTTGTTGATTGAAAAAAAAAAAAAAAGAGAAATTTGTGCGTTCTTTTTGTAAATCTGTGAAATTTAAATTATTTTTTCATTTATTATCTTTAGGAATTAGAATACTTATTTTATATGGGGTTCGTTATTTGTATGAAATAAATAAAAAATAAATAAAAATAAAAATATTAAACCAATAAAAAAAAAAGAAAGAAGTAGAAATTTCAGCAGAGTGAAAATATTATATATGTACGAACTGAACAAAAAAAAATATTTCGAACGAGAATATTTCATACCGTTTGTGTCTAAAACAAAACAAAAAAAAAATATTAAAAAAAAACCAACGAAATGTCGAATTTTCAACAGGATCATTTGCTGAATCGCTGACGTATTAAAAAGGGAAATAATTCGTTTCGACGTAAGCCGGTTTACCGAGCGATTACATGCCGAACGAATATTCGTATTTAACGATTATTGTTTTTTATAACTCGTTTTACGATCGACCTTCTCGAATTTATGATTTTGAATACATACTTACAACTTCTAGTCATTGCCAAAAATGAATCATTTACAACGAGCTATTTATTTAAGAGCTAGAGAAAGAAATAATATTCGAAAGAGAATACCTAATATTTAAAAATGTATACTAACAGAAAAATTGATCGATATTTTGTCTTATCGATACAAAAGATCAAAGCATTAGATGATTTATGAGAATTTTGTCAAATAATAGTTTTAAAAAACGACTGAAATATATTTCACCACAAGATTATGATTAACAGATAAATATATATATATATATATATATATATGGTGGTATCAAATAGTGAAACTCAAGAAGAGAAATGATGGACAAGATTAAAAACGTCCTATTCAATAAAAGAAACGTTGCATAAAATTCGAGAACATATAATAAGAAAGGATAGTTTATTATACGTAATTTTGCATATGTATTCCTATACTCTTATAACTATTTATATGTGTATATAAGTCGACATGTATATATGAGTGTATATATATGGATGTGTATGTCTAGCAGTGTTTCTCCCCCTCTCTTTGTCGTTTCAAATGAACGGACATCTTTTCCACTCGATGAATTCGCATAAATGCAAGAAAAAGCGCTTCGTTTTACTCCCACAACAACTTTGTAGTTTTTCTCTCTCTTTCCCTCTCCTTTTTTCTTTACTTCTTTTTCTTTTTTTTTTATCTTTCTCTATTCGTTCCTTTCGTTCTTCGCGAGTTAAACGCACCGGCAAAAAGTCCCCACTTTCAACTCCCCACAGTCCATCTCCGTACCCCACTACCCTTCTACACACTTTTCTATATAATGGACGATCCACTTAATCTCACGACCCAAAGAAGCTTTCAAAGTTTTAATTTTAGATAAAACCCGTTCCATCCTGAAAAGAAACTATTTCTTTTTCCTTTTCTTTTTTTTTCAGTTTGCTTTTTGTCTTTTTCATTTTCTCGTCTTTCTTCTTCC